AGAGGAGGGGAAAAGGGAGAGGAGGGGAAAAGGATGCTCCATTTGTTATTGGTACTACATCCAAAGCTCTCCCAACAGCTGTGATCTTGTTCTCCTCTTTTTGAATATCACCCCTCAGCCCCTTCTCCTCCACTTTTAGCCAACAAAACCAGTAACCATTTGGATCCATTTCAGCCCCTAGAGCCCACAACCATTCCAGGCCGTTATTCGGTCACAGGGCTGACATCACCCTTCACTCCTCCACCCTTCACCTCAAACAGATCTTTGTTCACTTCGTCACACCAGCTTTTCATATTTATACCTTTCTGTGATGACACACTGGGTGTGGCTGCCCTATGTGAAAGGGGGGGAGGTGATTCAGGTTCAGAAATTTTCAGTTTGCTGCATTTCTTTGAGTGAATTCTTTGAGGAATTTCACTCACCCCACAAGTGAGGGCTTCAAGCAAGCCCTGCAGCAGCATCGTGGATAGAACCACCCTAGTTCAGTGGCCACGTTGGTGCCCACACAAGATGCCCCATCACCACGTGAGAGAAAGGTGGATGCAGAGCCAGCCTACTGAATTTGACTACAGGTTGTCATAGAAATGCCAGAAAATTCTCTGAAATAAAAGGAGACTGATTTTAAACGGGTCTCTATGAAATGCAGAATTCAAACAGCACTTGGAATTTTCACAGCAGAGGTTGTCACCAAGTGCATCACCTCTGACTGTTCAGAATACTTAATAAATCACTTGGTGTTTGACCTTTCGTTGTTTCTTTGTCAAAAAATGAGCTGTAGCACATTCCCAGGCCTGTAAAATACTGTCTTGGGCCCATTACAAGGGCTAGAACACAACAGCTACACCAGGTCAGACCACAGATCCGTCCAGATGCCTGGGGAGAAGCACAGGAGCAGGAAAATGCAGTGATCCTTCCCTGACATTTCTGCAGCTTCCAGCAATTTATGATTCAGCATAAACCAGAAGCATTATTTTGCATTTAATAACCCTCAAAGGGCATTTCCTTCTTGTCCTGACTTTTTAAACTCCTGTTTCCTGAGTGGTGCAGGAAGGCATCCCAGGGCCTGGCAGCACCAGAGCTGAACCAGCAGCACCTCCTTCTGCCCGGGCTGAACCCGCCTGTGGAAAATCCCACCTGCAGAAACCCTGAGCAGCTGCTGTGTGCTCACCTTCCCCATCCAGCTCCTGACTTTGCAGCAACACTCCTCCACATCCCCCCCATCTTCTTTCTGACCAGACTCAGCCTCTCCTACAGCAGCCACTCCATACTTCTATTAATCTTGCTGCTCTCCTCTACCTTTTCCAGCTCCTCGTCTCATTTGGGATGAGGACACTACAACTGTACAGAGATAGGGGTGCATTCAGTGGCACGATTTCCTAATTCTTTCCTTATAATTCCTAACATGGAACTTCCTTTTTTGAGCAAATACCACCAAACACTGTGTTGCTAAGTTCCCTCATGATCTTGTTTCTGAGTAGCAAGAGTCAGCTCAGAGCCTGTACTAGAGCAGATTAGGATCGGAGCTTTTTTCTGTGTGCATTGTCTGATTTTTATCTGTGCTAAATTTTATCACTCATTAGATCATGCAATCAGCAACTCAAGGTCTTTCTACAGATCAGCCCTCGTTTCACTACCCCAAATAACTTGGTACTGTTGGCAAACTCTGTCTTGTCTCCCTCTGCCTCTCCTGCAGATCAGACACGAACACACAGAGTGTCACCGATCTTCCCCGGGGACTGTGGGTTCCCTCTCTCCTATCAACAGACCTTTGCCCTATTCTCCAACAGTGATTTTTCCATGTCCTCTCCTCTTTAAGAGCCTTTCCTTATGATGGGAGTCACATGGGCCACTTTCCAATTTTCTTGAAAAAATTTAGAGCTATGAAGCAGGGCACTGCTCTCCCCCCTTCTTTCGCTTTTTGCTGCCCCGGTACTGCTCACAGATTTCCTCATTCCTTTCACAAACTTCTTTGTGCTTTTATTGAAATTCTCTTTAACAAGACCATTTTACTTATCTCTGGGTGTGAAATGTGGTCATCCCAAAACTGTACTGTGAATTATTCTTAAAAAGCTGGGGTTGGCCTCGTTTCCAGGGCAACGCCGTGTTTGTGAGCAGGGGCTCATTACAGCAAGATGCTGTTTGAGGAGAAATTCCTTCTGTCTAGAGGCAACTCTGATGCTGCTCTTGTGCCAGAATGTTTCTCGTGGTTGTCTCCAATTAGCCCTCCTAAAATCTAGGACACTTTTCTCCAGCCTGGCTGTTGCCACCAGAAGGATGTCCACCTACAGCCTCAGTACTTACATCACCAATTTAGAATCTGATTCAAAGCTGAATTCATTTTGTAAACAGGCTGTTCCTGAAAGCTGAGTATCTTAGAAAGCAGTGCTCACAGCCCTCCTTCAAGCTGGCCTTTTCCTTCCTGCATTCTGCCTAGAGTGTAGACCTACCTCTACCCGCTCCAAATACTTTATTCTCTCAAATAAACACAAATCTCAAAGAGTTTTTTTTTCCCCAAACATTATTCCCACGAAACAAGTTGCAAACAAAGCTTGAGGCTTGTTGAAAACTCAAATGCTTCATTCTAGTGAACTTCCAAGAAGAAAGGCAGTCTCTCAGAAGGAATTATGGTTTTTAAGAATTGTGTGATGGGAATTGTTCTTGAGCTCTGATGGGCCCTTCACACCCACCTCGTTACTGGTTTTTGAGCAACACCAGTCCCGGGGAGCTCTGAACAGACATTTTCAGAGCAGTGTTAAGAAAAGAGCTGTACTAGTTACGCAAAGAGGCTGCTGGAGTCTCTCAGCACTTACTGCAAAACCCTCCTCCCCTTTTGTGTGAGATTCACCTCCGTTACCACAGGCAGCCAGCAGCTCTGCTCCTCTGGCTCCCTCTCACAGTCTAGCTTTACTTCAGTTTTCCGCTTGCCTTTTCCATACATGGAAAAGTGAAAAACAAACAAAAAACAGGCCCAGAAAAAAAAAAGTCCTAACAAGGACAACTCGGCTGCATGAAGCTTAAATTATGGCTGAGACAAAGACCAAAGCCATAAGCATGTGCCTCCCTCAGCCTGCCACCCTGCGAGCAGGCGAGCCACGAATACTTTTTGGGGAAAAAAAAAACACATTAGATTTTCTGAAACTACATTTGCTTCCCTTTAAAGGGAAAAAAACCCTCCACCACACAGTGTTGGAATCTCAGTGTCACTACAGGTTTGTAGCTGCCTTGACCCAGCCTGTGCATCCTTGCACAAGAGCAGCTCTGGTGACTCAACTCAGCAGCACCACACGTCTCCTGCAGGACTCCCCCGTGTCGCTCAGGGAACAAGGCCAGGCCAAGATCAAAGGTGGCGAGATGCCAGGCAGGGGAGAAAGCTCCTTTGGAAGCTGGGAGTTGTTCTCCCAGCTTTCTGCACGTTCTGTCCAACAAGCTCCCACCCCACAGCCTGGAAGTGTCCTTTTGGGTGCACGGAGGACCCCTGAGGAGTTCAGAGGCAAAAGCTGGCTCTTCTGTATTTACATAGCTGTGACGTAAGGAGACAATGTGCTCTCCACCTTGTCCCAGGAAGCCAGGGCAGACTGACTCAGCCCGTGGCAAAGCCACAGGCAGCCCTGTGTCTCCCACATGAACACTGGCAGGAATGAAGCCGCCCACTCACCTTGGGGATCTTGGCAAACCGCCCGACTCGGGTATCGCGGATGCTGGTTAGATCCAGAATTTCCATCTCCTACAGCAGAATAAGGACAAGGAAAATGAGGAAAGACAAGGAAGGAAGGATAGAAGTGCACTGCAGAGCCCCCAGAAGCTGCAGCAGGTCTCAGCCAGCACCCTTCACTGGGTGAGAACTGTCCCACCAGGGCCTCACTGCTGGCCTGTACAGCTGGCCACTGGCCAGGGTGGAGGTGGCCCCAGCCTGCAGCACTGGACCCTTCAGGGTGAGGCCAGAGGCTCGGTGCAGATCCCTGTGACGAGGAGCACAGGACACACACAGGTTCACATGGGGACACTGTCCACTTACAAGTCCATGTGCTCCCACACCCCACTCATGTCCTCAGCCTGTCCTTCTCCGCACACCCAGCACGGCACAGCTGAGCCGAGGGGAGGCAGGACCCCTCTGCCCAGGTCACCCCAGCAGACCTTCACCTCCTCTGTTGGGAAGCAACTCCCATGGAGGACATTTCCACATTCTAGGCAGCCCACCCCACGCCCTCACTGCTGGCTAGTTGTCATGTTTGTTTGTTCTTTTAACACCCCACCTGGATTTCCTTCCTCTGTTAGTGAGCTGTCTGCTCACCATGGGTCTGGAGAACAAATTACACTTGTTGCAGCAGCAGATAATACAATTGACCAAGATCACAACAAGGAACAATGTGGACACCATGTCTTCTGGCTGTATCCCCAGTTTATTGTCAAGCAGGATGGGAATTCTACTCCTAACCCCACTCCTTTCCGAATCTCTAGTCCAAAAGCAGGGCAGGTTTTCTTCCTTGCTGTCATGACAAGAGTCAGTCAAAGGTCACCAAGCCACACAAACCCAACAGACAAACTATGGACTGTTCCACACCAATGCTCTGTACCTGCCCATCTCCTGTCCCTGGTCACCCTGCTCAAGCCAGCCTGCTCAGGACCTTCCCTGCTCTGCCCCAGCTCCCTCTGGCAGCCAGCATTTGCCCCCCAGCCCACCAGCTCACACTGCCTGCAGATTCCCTCAGAGGACAGGGAAGATGCCAGCCAAGTGCTTCCCCAAGGATGTCAAGCAGGCTGCTGCTCCACTGCTGCTCTCCAGTTTGTTTGGTGTATGTTAGATGCTAATCAGCAGCACTTTCCAGGGCCCTTTCCAGCCTCAGTTTCCTCATGCCAGCTGTGCTTCCTCACCCCAGCCCCTTCCCCAGGTAATTAACTCCCTGCACCACCAACCCAGAGAAACATCTCACTTTTGGTGGGTGACAACAGCTCCTCTTGCACCATTCTGTGCATCTGCTCCAGCTCTACCACTTCTTCCTGCTGTCTGCTGGAGCCCTGACAGCCAAAACTGCACTGCCAGGAGCGGGCCCTGAAAGGGGAAGGAGCTGAGGGAGTGGGCTGGGAGGAGAGCAGCCCTCCTGGGGCTGTGGCAGTCCCAGCCCGGGGACACTGTGTTCCCAGAGGACTGGGCTGCGTGGCACTGCCTGGCCCCAGCTGCCACTGCCACACAATCTTCTGCGAAGGCAGAGCTCCCCCAAAACCCCCCAGGTCTCCTGGCCAGGGTGCTGTGCAGGACTGCCTCTGTCTCTTTATCTACCATGTCTCCTCAGCATGTAGGTCACGAGGAGGAAGTAGAGCTGAACCACAGCTCTGCTCTGGAAAGCAGAAGTAAGCCCAGCCTCCCACCTCCAGTCGGCCAGACCTCCCCACCCCTCGGTGCTGCTCATCACTGAGGAATGGAACTCTCTCTCCTGAGCTGGCTGCCTCCTGCTCTCCTCCAGCAGCCAGCACCCTGTGCTGCACCCAGCACACAGCACCCCGGCCTGACAGGACCACAACTCGCTCTCCAGACTCGAGGGAGTCTCTCCAGCACTACAGTTTGTTTGGTTTTTTGTTAATTTGGAGACCAAGCTGTGAAGTCTTAGCACTTACCTTGTTCTGATAGGTCCAGTATAAGTAAAATCCCTTCGGATCCACTCGGAGAATGACAGGAGAAGCACTTGCTGTTTCCTGGCCAACAAAATAACAAAAGAAGGTCAGCACCTTACATGACTTGGAGAACTCACCCCGGGGCATGAGGTTCCCAGTTCAAACATGGACCCAGTTGGGTGAATCACCCTCTGTGATTTATGGAAATGAACCAGGTGATTTTAGCACCTCTCCAGCATCACAGGGTGTGGCCAAAGCTGATCTCTGCTGGAGCCCGGGTCTCACCTAACACTGCACTTAGCTAGAACTGCTCTCTTGGCTCTTCCTGTACAATGAACTGAGAAGAAAGTGTCTGTAGATGCAAGTAATTGTTTCACCTTCCCTCCAAGGCACCTACTTCATTCTACGAGCTCCAGAAGCAGCCTAGGCCAAGCAGAGACAGCACTCTCCCTGGCACTGCCCACCTGGGTGCTCAGGCCAGTTATGATCTGGGCTCTCTTCACAAAGAACAGACCCAGTCAGGAAGAGTACAAGGAGGGGTCCATCCAACACAGCAGATGAGTCTGCTTTAGGTGGTGATTCTTAAACTCCACGCACTAGCTCTACACAGACTCTTTAAAAAAAGCAGCTATTTAAACACCCACACTACAAGCACAAAATGAGATGAAGTTTTTGGGGCTGATCCTGAAGCCCCCATCCAGCAGGGAGACCCTCCCGAGCAGAACCAAGGCATGTCCCAAGAGGAGACAGAGGCTGCTGGGAGGTGGTGGGCTTTGCCTCTGAATAATTACACTGCTTCTGCACTTGCAGACAAAGGCCTCCTCACAGACATTCTCAGACAACGTTCATTCCCATCTCACACGTGAGCCAGTGCTGAGACATGACATCAGTGTGAGGTCTCTGGAGACAGAGATGAAGCACGTGTGGTGCCTCTGTGTGGGCCCCAGCCCATCCACTCATTCAGTACAGAGGGCTCCTCACTGCCTTTGTTTGACCTCTGGTGCCACAGAAGACAGGATCATAAGGCCCATCAGCACTTCTAGAAGGCTTTCAAACTCAGTTTGGGATGCTGCAATACCCAGCTACTGAGATGAAACCAGCAAAGGAATCTGGAAGTTCTATTCCACCCATTGGCTTTGGGTCCTTCAGTTTGTCACTAAACTCATCCTTCCCTGCAGAGTGTATCTGTGTGCAGGGACATCCACTTCCAGAGTCAGTGTTCCTCAGTACAGCACACCAGTCCTACGTTCTCCTTCTCCTCCCTGCTGTCCCCTCAGGGCGTGGAGGGACAGTGGTGACCCACACAGCACCAGCCCTGCTCCCCCAGCGAGGGCACGGAGGGCAGAGCAGGCCCTGAGCTCTGCTGCTGCCTGTGCCATGGCTCAGATTAACCTTATCTCCCACACAGCAGCCTCCCTGGGAGCTGTGGCTGCAGCAGGGACTGCTGACTGCTGGCTCCCAGCAGGGCTGTGGAGGGCTGGGGGCTGTGGGGACAATGGTGAGTCCTGCAGGAGGGGGCCTGGCAGCCAACCTGCCTGCTGCCCACACCCTGGAGTTCAACCCCAGGGCACAAAGCAAGGGCTGTCTGCTGAAATCCTGTAATCCATAACCTTTATAAGAGACAGAAACATTTTTGCTTCTACTACAAGGGCCAAGAGCCAGCACAGGGCCAAACCCACATGCATCTGCTCCACTTCAGGGGTCAGCTACCACACCGTGCCCCACATGAGGCTCTGGAAGGGTTCCCAAGCTGGTTCTTGACATAAACTATCCTCCATGTAGTAGGACTTGACTTCTTTATTCTGCTCAGCAGCCCCAGCTTGCCGGGTGCTAAAGAAAGCACAGCAGAGCTGCTCCTTACCTCAGGATGCTGGAACCCACCCAGGACAGGTCAGAAGAGCCCTGCCTGTCAGAGGTCCCACTGCACCCTCCTCCAGAGAAGACACTGCACACGCTGGACAAGGTGAAGGCACTACAGAAAAAGTGTGGGTTTGCTTTTCTCAAGGAACTGTTGGGTACAGTGAAGGCTCCAGTCCAGTCCCAAACTGGACAGAGCAATGTGAGGAGCCAACGGGATCTCCCTGCAGTCCTTTGCCTCACATACTGTGGAAGGAGTTCAACCAGCACAGCCAGGTCAGTTCAAAGAGTGAGATACAGAAACACAGGCCCATGACCTCTGAAGAGCAACATTCCTGCAGCCTGGAGCTCTTGCCATCATCCCCTGCAGCCTGCTCTAACTGTGGAGGGGGAAAGCCTGAGGAGATGGAGCAGTGTGACCAGAACAGCCCACTTGTGGAGAAGACTTTCAGCATTGTTGGAGGTCAAGTCTGGAAGGTGCTTAGTAATTAAAGGTGACCTTTTAGGAATGTTCACAAGTCTGTAAGTCTTAGGGGGAAAACCACACAGGACTTTAGCTCTCTAACTCCCACGGCTGCAGCAGCAAATAAACACTGCTGGGTCTTGGAAGCCCAACTGGACTCCACTTGGGTTTCCAGGGAGCCTAATTATCCCAGGAATTCCCAGTGAAGTACTTAACAGCTTCAAGTTTTTGGGAAACTAGTCCCCAGGGACTGAGCACAGAAAATCAGCAGCAATTTTAGACAAGCTTGGCTACTGTTATTCTCAGAAACCAAATCCCTTCTCAAATCCATAGAAGCCACAAGTGTCCCACTGGCATGGCAAGAAGGGGCAGGCTGCACTTTCCCCCGTGCTCTGGGGTCATCCTCCTTTGGGTACAGCTAGTGGAGCATCTGCCCAGTGGTCCTCCAGCTTGTCCTCCTCAGCACCAATTGTACATCGCTCTTTCCTCCTTCCTCAGTGCCACGGGACCACCCCTGCTTCTGCTGCACACAAGTGGTGACCAACCTCCCCCCCACACACTGCCTTGGGACTGAAAACTCTACTCCAGCTTTACACCCACGAAGTAAATGCTAATCCCTCCTGCCCTGATGCTGGGGGCTCCTTCTAACGCGCCTCATTTGCAACAGCACAGCGAATGTTTCCCCAGGATCTTGGTGAATAATCATAACCTGGCCTGCCCCCATTGCAGCAACA